AAAGCAGGTCTTGAAGGAACCTCAAGTTACAGCGACACAGTCCACGGGTTAGGTGTCCCAGAGGTAGTGTAGCTTGCAAATTGAGGCACAGAACAAGCAAGGCAGACACACACTGGTTCGATGATCAAAGAAAAGAGACAAGAAAGGCGAGGCTTAATCCCACATGTGTTTATCGGCTAGGTTGGCACAATAAACTAACTACCTCAGTGACCGTTTCGGTAGCTGCTCCGAGCATCACTTCCATTCTGAAGCGGGAGATTAACTTGGGCTCACCCTCTTGTGTCATGTCTGTCCCCTGGTCACTTTTGGTACATGCTGCCATGCTTGCTTGGCTCTTTCTTCCCATTCCCATGCCAGCCCAGCCACGTGGGCTTCCCCAGGCAGCAAAGGGAGTTGTGTTCATGTCTTTCCAATTGCCGCCCTCTTGAGTGTAGTCTCTGCCACCGTGTTGAGCTGTTTTGGAGACATAGGCCACGCCGTGGCCTCGCCTCCCACCTCGGCAGCCCAGGTGGCCCAAGCCCCAGCAGCACGTGGAAACCCTGCAGTGGCTCGCCCCGGCCTCTCCTCGCTTAGCCTCTCCCACACTTCTTCTCCACCCTGGTGATGCCGCCGGGCTTGGCGTGCGGCTCTGTGGCATGTGAAGGAATCCTTCCAGCCACGGCCTGGTCAGGTCTCCTGGACGCTGAGTGGCTATGGACACCATAGGACCCTCCCTCCAGTGCTGCTCGCCAACTCCTGCAGTGACTAGTGGTCTCTTGGGGACCTTCGCCTGCCGCTGCCCCGACTACCCCGAGCCTCATGGCTTCTGTGTTGTGCCTTCTGCCTCAGTTGCTCAGTTCGTCTCCTCACTCTGACTCAACGATTCTCTGCAGATGGCGGCCTGGTTGGTGGTTAATCACTTTTGTTCCTGTGGGTCAGAGCTCTCGTGAGACCTGTGAGTAGGCTGAGGCCTACAGTGGACGGCTGCCCCTGCCAGACACCCACTAGGATGGGTCTGCCCTTGGCCAGGTTGGGGGACCCTGTGGTTAGCTCTTCTCAGGCAGGCCGTGCTAGTGGCAGTCTCCCTGGCCAAGACATTGTCCGTGGTTCTGAAGCGGCCAAGCAAACAGGACACACTTGCCAGAGAACCACCTCCCTTCTCAGCCGCTGCCCCCGCTGCCATCACCACATGCCCCACAGGAGTTTCCTCAGCGCTTCCCACCGGGCCTAGCCTGGTCACAACTCTCCTCACGCCCCCACATGGCCGGTGTGTCTTCTGCCAGATGAGGCGCCATCTGGGGCCTCCTCATCGTTACATCCTAAAGGACCTCTCTCTGACGGCATTTCCTAAGTAAACGAAGCCCTGTGGCTCAGGAAGTTAGACATTGGGATTAACCTGTTAGGGTTCAAATCCACCAGCCGCTTGGTGGGAGAAAGCTACAGGCAAGTGGCTGTGTCCCTTCGCTGATCACTGCCGCGTCCGCGAATGGCTGGTAGGTGGTGTGGATAAGCCAGAGAGGCGGGAGCTGTCCCTCTTCCCAGTCCTGGCACCCGCGGAGAACAGAAAGCTCAGGGGCAAAGCTTCTCTTTGTTGTGGGGTCCAGAGTTGGGGACACTGTCCCACCAGCCACCTAAGGCTGATGTGGAATTCTGTGGCCATGTGCTCTTTTTTTCTGACGAGGCGGTCAGATTCTCAGCAAGTGCTGAAAGAAATGTAGGAATTCAGTGCAAAGCACAGCATCGTCTAGCCCATACTGGGCACCCTGATGAGCGTGTGTGCATTTTACTTCCAATCGATTGCCTTTAACAACTATTGTATGGTGCCCGGAACAAATATTTGACATTTACGCCGACTTTCAGGCCATTCAGATTTTTGGATGAGTTTGAATGTCACCCTAGTTGACATTTTAAAATACAGTGGCCCTCACATGCATCTCCGAACCTGGACCCGCAGCTTTGCCACTGGTGTGAGGATTGCCGCCGTCTCCCTGAATGTAGGCTTGAGTAAGTCACTTCTGTCATGCGGGGCCCTTCCCCAAGGAGCAAACCAGATGAGACAGGCCATGCTGAGTGAGCCAGTAGAGGGCATGTGCTAGGCTGTGATGGGTGAGCGGGAAGGAAAATAAAGTCAAGTGGGGCAACAAGAGGCCTCGCTGGAAGTTCCAGCAGTTTCTGTTACATATTTTATATACAAGAAGGCTTCAAAAAGTTAGGGACAATAGAATGAAAAGATGGTGGGTTTTTCCACGAACTATTTAAGCCCCGATAGCCATCTCTATGGGTCACATGTTTTTCCTATAGATGAGGCAACACTTGAGCAGAAGAGGAAGGCTGGGTGTGGGCCTTGCCCGTGTCTGAGGACAGAGTATTCCTTCTAAACACAGGGACCGGCTGGGGCTGAGCCAGAGGGGAGTGTGTTTGGATGTCAGTTCCAGCTCCTGGTTCAAATCCCCTAGGAGCCTTGGGGTCTAATGAAGCCTTCTGAGCAGACTCCACGGCTGCCTTGGGGGCCACACCCCATACCTCTCGCATGTGCCACTCGCTCTGCCAGGAGCGTCCTTCTCATTGGACCCTCCTCACCCTTGAGAACCCGCCCGGCCTCAGTGGCAGTGGTCCCGGTGCACTCGGAGCAGCGGTCGGAGTCCGGGCTGCGCTGTGCTCACAGAAGCCCCAATCTCATGGCTCTCCAGTGCTTGCCAGGTGAAACATTTTGGTGTGCAGGTCTTAAGCTGTCTGGTATCGAGAACCCTTTAAAGGCTTGTCTTATTCGCTCCCTCCCTCCTCTGTGTTTTTCTTCTCTCTGCTCACTCTCTCTGCTTAGTGCATGTTAGATAATAACAGCTCACGAATGACTAAAGTCCCTTCGAAGGTTCATGCTAAGAGCAAGTCACAAAGTATTGTTACTAGGGCTCCAGCTCCAACCTGCAGGTTTGTTCCCGAACAAAACAGGCTAAAGTCTTTGCAATCAAAGGATGGCTACAGGCAAGTTCTCTCAGGAACACACTGGTCTCAGTCTTCATAGGGTGCTCGTGGGGGTGGGGGTGAGGCGGGGTGGGCTCAGTCAAAACATCTGCTAGACAGTTAAGTTCAAGTCAGAAAGGTCAGCTCAGAAGGTTCTAGCAGCTGTTTGGGGAATTCCAAAGGGGATCCTGACAGTTTTTCCTAGAGGACACAGGATGACCCATAGGGCCTTCTTGGGAAGAAGCTTTTAGAAGGTCGAAGGCCGAGTTGCTGAGAAAAGGGCCCAGGAAGCCGTGCTGTGGGTCTCTTGCCGTCGGGACAAATGCACTCCTCGTTCTGCAGGGCAGCAAGAGAGCCCGGAGACTCTCACCAAGAAACCCCGGCTCAGCCCACCATTTTCGACCTCCCGTTGTTTCCCGGCGGCAAAGGAGCCTGAGCTGCCAGGTTTCACTTGGTGTAAATCATGGAGTACAGAATTCTTTGGGGAAGAGGTAGAGCCATAGAAACCATGCCTTTAGAAAGGTACAGACCCCAGAGCAGTGGTTCTCAACCTTCCCAATGCCGCGACCCTTTAATACACTTCCTCGTGTTGTGGTGACCCCCAACCATAACATTATTTTCGTTGCTACTTCATAACTGCCGTTGTGCTACTGTTATGAATTGGGTGACCTCTGTGAAAGGGTCGTTTGACTCCCAAAGGGGTTGTGACTGACAGCTTGAAAACTGCTGCCCTAGATGGAGGAACGTGCCGAGAAACAATAGCTTCACGTGTTGGTACTTTTGCTTAATAAAGGTTTTTATGATTTGATAATTCTTTTTGGTTTACCCTCATAGATATTCTTTCTTTTTTTATCTTGGCTATGTTAAACAGCTCTTTTTCACCCCCTCACCAGAAGCAGTAGTCTTTCTCTTAAAAAAAAAAATCATTTATTGGGGGCTCATACAACTCTTATCACAACCCATACATACATCCGTCGTGTCAAGTACATTTGTACATATATGTTGGCATCATCAATTTCAAAACATTTTCTTTCGGAGCTCTTGGTATCAGCTCATTTTCCCCTCCTCCATCCTCCCTTCCTCATAAACCCTTATTCTTTGCTTTCTTAAAGCTTAAAACTCAAACATTTTCAGAATCCTCTGGTTGACTAATTGGTATAGTACTAATAATTCTGCCCATAAAATATAATTAGGTGCTATTTTAATTTCATTACCTTGAAATCCTTGGCACACATTCATATTTCATATGCTTTGAAAAATATGGTCTTTATGGATTATTTGAATAATTCTTGCTCTTTGTATCTAAAGGTATGAAATTTTTTAGGTACAAAATCCTACCTGAGTGCTTCGTCTTCCCTTTAACTAGCTTTAGGATGATTGGCCACTACTTTGTTTTGCAACAAAATTCTGTGTAACCACTGGTAGACTAGACCCTGAAAATCTTTACAGAGACAGCCATCCTTAGCTTTCTCTTGGGTAGCGGCTGGTGAGTTCAAACTACTGACCTTTCAGTTAGCAGCCCAACACCCCAGTGTTGGGGGAATAGCTTTGAAAATTCTGTGACTCCTTTGGCTCATGCTTCAGAGATAAGTCTTCTGTAAGTCAGAGACCCTGACCATCGGAGTTCGCTGAATGTGCCGACTCCCATTCTCCAGTGGTTCTGGGATTGACATGACGGTGAGAGAGTCGTGGGACTCATGGTGGGGCCTCGGTGCTGCCTGTCTTCCAGGGGATGCGTCCAAGGAGGACATCGACACTGCCATGAAGCTGGGAGCTGGCTACCCCATGGGCCCTTTCGAACTGATTGACTACGTTGGACTGGACACCACCAAGTTTATTATGGACGGTAGGAATTGGAAGTCTCCATTTTGCTTCTTTTTTTTTTTTTTGGCTTCTTTGAGTAAGGTGGTGTCTGAACTGCGGACTACACCCCACTGAGTCCATGCTGACTCGTAGGAGCCCTGTAGGACGGAGCAGAACTGCCCCCTGGGGCTTCCAAGGCTGTCAGTCGTTAGAACAAGTAGCCTCAGCTTTCTCCGGCAGAGTGGCCGGTGGCTCTGCACTGGCGCCTGGCGGTTAGCAGCCCAACAGATTACCCACGTGGTCACCAGGACTGCTGCCTTCTTACAAGGGAAATTCTAATGAGTCTAAGCAGACCATTCAGAATGTGTCTCCGTGCCTCCCTAGAATCAAGTGTCCAGGTAGCAGACGGGGGAGAAGGAAAGCTGTGATTGTGTCGCGCCTGTTCGCAGAGTCGCAGCACAGAGGCACAGACACAGACAGCCCTTGGATGTCTTTCTCCCACTTCCTGTAATGGCTGCAACTTCCGTCACCGTAGTGCCTATCAGCCCGGGAAAGGACACTGGTACAGTGTGTCATTTATCACGTGTGGGTTTGTGTAATCTCCATTGCTATTAAGTGCACAGCTAATTTTTAAAATGTACCCATTTTAATGCCAGGACTCAAAAATATTTATCCAAACGGGGGTGAAGTCCAATGTAGCTCATTTCTCAAAATCCCGGAGTCAGAGGGAGCTAGCTCATCTCTGTCAAGTGTCACAGAGCACACCCGCGGCATCTCAGAGGGCTGAGACGCGAGGCGCTGAGTCACGAGGGTGTGAAACACCAGTGGCAGCAGCAGAGTCAGGTCGTAAACAGTGTTCTGGCAGTGGAAACCGGACACAGCGGCGTCTCCATGGTGTCTCGGACCTTTGGCACATGGAAATATGACATTAGTGATGCCTGAGCAGGAGAAAGGGGAGGCCCTTAGAGCCTGGCCTCGAACCGCACCACCATGTATGTGGCGGCAGCAGCCACCGTACCTGTGGTGTGGCTGGGCCCACCACGCCTGCCAGGTGCCCCCACCGGAGGCCTCAGTGGGCCCCACGGCTCGCCCACGTCTCAGTAGGCGCTCTGTGCTCCAACGCTGTCAGACTCACCATGGGAAGGCTGAGGCAGCCAATAACTGCTTGCGCGCTTCATCCTCTACTCTCTTCCTCCTCTTCACAGGGTGGCAAGAAATTGATGCAAAGAACCCCTTGTTTCAGCCCAGCCCGATCTTGAATCAGCTGGTAGCAGAGAAGAAGTTGGGCAAGAAGACTGGAGAAGGGTTTTACAAATACAAATGATCGCTCCGGGAAGCACCCACGGAAGCGTGTGCCAGCCAGCTGCCCAAAGGACCGCGGGAACGCACACTGGTCAGAGGCTCCCGCGCCGCACCGCCTGCTCACTGCGCATTTTTATTGTAATCTTTCTGAAGTAATCATGTCCACTAGTTACAGGAATAACAGAGCCCTTCCTTGAGACTAATTCCCTTTTTTATTCTGTTCATTTTGGAGTTGTTCTTAAAAAGCTTTGTACCCTTGGTGCCTTGGGACAGACATTTCTTTCGAATCTTTTCCTTTCGGTAAAGAATTGTCTGGACTCCTTCCCTTGTGCAGGGAAAGGCCTCCTCTGGGCCCCCAGCTGTCTTGAGGGAGAGTCGTGAGCCATCCAGATGCCGTTTGCCTGTGACTCGTGTCTGAGAACAGGGCGACCTAGAGCCGCGAGCCTTTCCCTACAGCGCCTCACCCCGAGGCGGCTGGTGGGAGCACCTGCACGTGCTGGGTTTGCACGGAGTCGCCTTCTCGGGCACTCACCCCTGCCATCTGGATGACTGCTGTCTGTCTGCTCTGTCTTAACAAATCAGTGTATCCCACACTGCCTACAAATTGGCTTTGATAAAATGTAAGCTTCTATAAAAACTGAAAATAAAATGTGTATGATTTTACATCCAAAGCTTCAGTGGTTATAAAACAAAGGTTGATGGTTGAAGCAACCGCTGTGCCCATCTTTGGCTTGTCTTTTTGTAAAGTGTCGGGGGGAGGGGGAGGGTAGGACGAGCAACAGGAAAGGCATTCCTGTATAGACCTGCCTGCCACGGTCTCGGCCAGCTTTCTAGAAAAGCAGTCATAGGGCCCCAAGAACGGTTTTTTAAGAAACATCTGTTTTCTTCTTTGCCAGCAAAATCTAATAGCGTAACACAGGCTTCTTTTCATCGTTGGCCTGAGAAAGTGACATCCACTGGAACGATGCCAGAACGCTGAAGTCGAGTCCAAGGTCACCACGTATCTGGAAGCTGACTCAACCTCAGAACGAGGCTGTGACGATAGAGTGACGTACAGGTCGTGGTGTGAGCTGTCTCAGGCTAGCGGTGCAGACAGCACCGCCACCAACAGGGCATCCTGGTAAGATGACGGAGAATTTCCTTTCCTGCATTTTCGGCTTGCTCGGGAGCGTACAGATATATATTTAACTCGGATCTAATTATAGCATAACGTCAAAGGGAACACGTTGCTCCCACCCAGAGGACCTGGGGTAGGAAACTGGGGGGTCACTCTTCTAAAACGCTTCCTAACGAAGAAAGGAAGCACCTGCGAAGCCACCAGCCTTTCCACTGATGAAGGTTACCCTGTGGGGGCAGCTCCCTGCTCACCCAGCAGAGGAGCGACCTTCCACCGAGTACTGGGCAGGAGGAGGGGCCTGAACTCGCTCGTCAGCCCAGTAGCCACACCTGCCAGGATGGGAGGGTAGGGCTGCAAGCCGCCGCCTTCTGATGGATTTTACGGCACACCTTAGGCCCTCCTTCCCTCCCCAAAGTTAAAAAACAAAGGCCTCAACATCTTTTTGTCCTTTTTAGAGTTTGTTTTCCATTGCGGCCCGTTTGGGAGACGGAGGACATTGTGAACATCTTTCTATATAGAAGGGCCTTGAAAAGGTGTGTAGAAAAGGGGGTTCAAGAGACTGGAGCGTGTCCATGAGCTCTTTTGAAGACCCTCGTCATGGGAGGTGGGAGTGGCTTGCTCCATGCCTCTGGTCTTGGGCAGTACAGCTGCTTCCCACGGGGCATGCCAAGGACGGAAGGAACGCCTCCTGGGTCATCCCGATTCCCAAATCAGACCAGCTGCATCGGGAGCGGCTGCTCGGCCTCAGTCGGCAGCTGAAATCGAAGCTTCCTCAGAACTGCAGCGGGCTCCAGGCTCTCCTGTTCTGTGCTCTGGCCTCACTTATTGAAGGAGGCCGAGCCCAGGCCCGTGCGGCTGCGCCCTGCTTCACTGCTGCCACCTGCCCTCTCGGCCCCCATTTTTCTTCCTCACACAAACCTCCAAGTACCAGGCTGTAATCAGGAGGACACCTCGCCCCGCTTCTCCTTCCACTTAGTGGTATTTTTATTACCAAGATAGAAACAAGATTTTAATGATCAAAAGTAAAACCAAGCAATTTATGAAATACCATATTGAATAAGGCTTATGTGGGCCACGGAGGCCAAGGGGTGTAGCTGTCACGTAGACTTGTATTACAGTTCCTTAAATAGAGTTCTCCAAAGAATTGCTTTAATATTAGGACTGAGCCTTGGTGGCGGAGTTACAAGTGCTGCTAGCTTCCAGGTCGGCAGTTTGAAATCACCAGCCACTCTGCTCGGGAGAAAGATGATTTCTACTCCCGTAAACAGTTACAGTCTCAGAAACCCACAGGGGCAGTTCTGCCTGTCCTATCGGGTCGCTGTGAGCTATCACAGACTCAGTGGCAGTGAGTTTTGAGTTCCGATGAGAGTGTTTTTCAAGATCAGCATTTTGAGACCACCACCAGTTAGTTGGCTCCATGGGAGAAAGACGGCTTTCTGTTCCCATGAATAGTCTCGGAAACCTAGAGGCAGTTCTGCTCTGTCCTGTAAGGGCCCTTTGAGTCATGATCAACTTAATGGCAGTGAGTTTGTTTGTTGGTTTTCACTGAATCCTTAACCCTTACCTTAACACTCTCACAAACCCTAACCCTTAACACTCACACAAACCCTGACCCTGACCCTAACCCTTAACACTAACACAAACCCTAACCCTTACCTTAACACTAACACAAACCCTAACCCTAACCCTTAACACTCACACAAACCCTGACCCTAACCCTTAACACTAACACAAACCCTAACCCTAACCCTTACCTTAACACTAACACAAACCCTAACCCTAACCCTTAATACAAACCCTAACCCTGACCCTTACCTTAACATTAACATACACCCTAACCCTTACCTTAACATTAACATACACCCTGACCCTTACCTTAACATAAACCCTAACCTTAACACTAACACAAACCCTGACCCTGACCCTAACCCTTACCTTAACACTAAAACAAACCCTAACCCTGACCCTCAGTGAGTTTGGCTTTTGAGAGAGGTCTTTGGACACCTGGTAGCTTATGTGCTGGGTGGCTAACCCCAAAGTCACGAAGTCCGAACCGACAGACCTTTTCTCCAAGGGGGAAAAAGACGTCTTTCTATCCCTGTCAAGATTTACAGTCTGGGAAACCCTGGTGGTGTAATGGTTATGTGTCAGGCTGCTAACCCGAAGGTCGGTAGTTTGAAACCACCAGCTTGCTCCAAAGGAGAAACAGGAGGCCTTGTACCGCTGTAAGCAGTGATAGTCGCAGACCCCCACAGGGGCACTCTGACCTTATTCTGTGGGGGTCTAGGACTCACGTGTCAGCTTTCAGAAGTTCATGTCACACTTTACTGCTCATAATTGATAGGGTTTGTCACGGCTTAGACAACAACCCACGGTAATTATGTTTTGTAAACAAATGATAGTGCATGCACAGTAATCTTTAAAATACTTTGAGCCACAAGAGCATTGCTATGTTTTCCAAATCCATTTGTTGTGGAAATTATTTTAAAATCAGTCTTAATGTTTTATAATCAGTTTTTGTCTTTATTTTAGCAACTTTTCCCACCACTTGCCATAATTCAATGAACCAAGTGCACTTCCTGCAAGACACAAACATCACATCATTGGTACTGATTTTACTGACTTCTTAATTTTAAATTTCTCCTAACTGTAGCTACTGTAGTATATTATTACATCTAAACGATTACTACTCCAGATGTAAACAGAGGTGGGTTCTAGTTCTCAGCTCAGAACCCAACCTCTACAATGCAAGGGTTATTTCTTGTTCTGGATCTAGCTGCTAAATCGGGGCCTACTATTCTTTCATTGTGTTGCCGAAAACCACATGAGATGATGGCTTAGGCCGATTGTGTCCAACTTCCCTCCTCTCTGCGCAGCTAATGAGTTACAGTCCACACTAACCTTTCACACCTGTGCGGAGCCGGCTGCAGATTGGGAACAGGCCCGGGTGTCTTTTAAAAGGCAATCTTAGAAGTTGAGCTGTTGGGCCACCAGGGCTGGGGTGGGGTGTGTGTGTGTGTGTGTGTGTGTCTGAGTGTGTGTGTGGCGGGGGGAGGTGTAGAGAGAGCGCTGGAGCTCCACACCCCACCACACAGCTTGTGTGAGGCCAGGTTGTCTAGACACAAACCAGCGACACCCATCTGTGTAGAAGGAAGAACTTTATGGTAAGCAACAATTTCACATCAAGAAGGCTCCCCAACCCAGTCCAACTCAAGCGTGTAGAGCCAGGCTCGCCGGGCCCTCTTCAGACTCACGGAGCTGCAGGCCGGTGACGCCAAAAGGCGCAGCAGGGCAGTCACAAGCTGGTTGGTGCTGAATCTCCTGGATCCAAGTGGATGGAAGCAGGGCAGGGTGCCAACATTTCAGACGGGTGGGTACATGGGGCACAGATGGAGTCCCAGTGAAGTCCCAGCAGGGAGGAAGGTGAAGTGGCAGACATTTCCCAGAGTCCCTCACTTTCCTACAAAGACCACACACCCACGGTTTGCATCAAGCTACCATTTGACAGGCTTGATTCTACCTCTAGCCAGGAGCGTCCAGTGGACTAAGTCATCCCACTTCCACACAGCTGCTCCTGAGCTCTTCCTGAACCTCGGTAGAGGTGCTGTGTCTGTGATACATGTCTGGTCATCGGAACCCCTGGTGCTCCAAAGGCTCACCAAGTGCAGGGACACGGGAACTCCCCCTCCCGCCTGTGAATTGGGGTGTATGTGTGAGCAGTGGACGGAGTGATTTAAGACCCCAGGGAAAACGAGTATGTAAGAGAGAAGTTCCCCCCAGGGAGCAGGTGAACCCTTGAGTCCCTGACAGTGTAGTTTGAAATGACAGTGGGCGAGCTGCTAAATAGTCTCCCTCCTGTTGTTGGTGGGAGTCCCCACCAGGTCTCTTAATTCGTGATGGCAGACCAAGGAGCCCAGAGCAGAATCACCCCAGGGCTGAAATGAATTCAAGCGGCTCTTGGATTGTCGTCAAGGCTGGCCGGGTGGCCACGGCGAACCGAGGCGTCCGTTTATCGAGGCAGGGTGCCTTGCACGGCCGGCCGACGTTTGTGAGGCAGAGAAGCCCGTGGTGTCTGGATGTGTGTGGGTCGCCACGTGACATTCCTCCAGGTGTGCTTACTGGAATATTCCAGCAGAAAGCCAGTTCTCAAGCAACCAGGTGCGATAGAAAAAACTGGAATGAGAACTCTGCTTCCTGCTATCTCAAACAGCCACCAGATGCAAACAACAGGGTCAGGAGACAGAAAACCAAGAAAGTGACCCAAACCGCTGCTGGCCGGGGAAGGAGTGGTTCCAAAGTGAAGTTAGGATGGCTGAGTCCCAGTGCCCCAGGCCAGAACCAGGCAGAGGTCGGAGCATGTGCTTCTGGGAAGGGAGCGTTTCCAGAGCTCTGTTGTCCTCAGTGTGAGCCTTCCTTCCCGGGAAGGGCAAGGGCAAAGAGCAAGCTTTCCTTCCACTGCGTGGATTTGTGGGAAAGCTCTTGTCTGGCCCTGCTCTGGTGGCATAGCAGCCACACAGTGGGCCGCTAACCCCAAGGTCAGCTGTTC